GATATTAAATTAGACTTCATCAAAGTTAAAAATACTTCTATTTTTAAAAGACACTATTAAGGGGGCAATGGGGGACTCAGTCGATTAAGCATCTGACTCATGGTTTCAGCTCAGGTCATAACCTCACGGTTCGTGGGTTTGAGTCCCACATCAGGCTCTGCGCAGAGCCTGCCTGGGATTCTCCCACTGTCTCTAAATAAATAAACACATACATACATACGTACATACATACTTTAAAATAATAAAAAAATAAAAGACACTAACGGGGCGCCTGGGTGGCGCAGTCGGTTAAGCCTCCGACTTCAGCCAGGTCACGATCTCGCGGTCCGTGAGTTCGAGCCCCGCGTCAGGCTCTGGGCTGATGGCTCAGAGCCTGCACCCTGTTTCTGATTCTGTGTCTCCCTCTCTCTCTGTCCCTCCCCCGTTCATGCTCTGTCTCTCTCTGTCCCAAAAATAAATAAACGTTGAAAAAAAATAAAAAAAATAAAAGACACTATTAAAATAACAAGGCAATCCACAGAATAGGAGAAAATATATCTGATTACTACACACACACACACATACACGTGCATCTGACAAAATGCCTATATCCAGAATATATTTTAAAACTCTGCAGTAAAAAAACAAACAAATATGGGCAAAAGCTTGGACAGAAACCACAAAAGAAGATACATAAATGGTTAAAAACACATGAAATAATGTTCAATATCATTATACCAGGGAAATGCAGAGTAAAACCATAATAAGACCTACAACCTACCAATTAGAGTGGCTCAAATTAAGAAATGGACAATACAAGGTGCTAAAAGAAACAGAGAGTGTCTGTAACTCATACATTGCTGGTAGGAATGTTCACTGGTACAAACACTCTGGAAAACAATTTGAGAGTTTCTGAAAGTTAGTCATACACTTATCCTATGATTCGGAAGTCCCATCCCCAGGTATTCACCCAAGAGAAATGAAAATCTATGTCCACACAAATACTTGTGCACACGAGTTTATAACACCTCTGTTCATAAGAGACAAATACTGTAAACAACCTAAATGTCCATCAACAAATGAGTGATAAACTTATGTGGTATATACACACTAGAATACTACTCAACAATAAAAAAGGTACAAACTACTGCAAACCACACACACACACACACACACACACACACACACACACACACACACCGAATCTCAAGAGCATTGTTCTAACTAAAAGAACAGACTCGAAGAAGCGCATACTTACGAGTCCATTTTATATGAAACCCTAAAAAGGACATATTTAACCTACAGCAACTAAGCAGATCCATGGCTGCCTGGGGTCAGGATGGTTGAAAGAAGTACTAGCTGGACAGGCTACAGAATTTTCAGGGCCCACTGCAAAATGAAAACAGGGTGCCCCTCATTCAAAAATTAAGAATTTCAAGGCAGTAGCAGCGGAGCAATAAAGCGAGCGTGGGGCCCCACCAAGCACAAACCCCCATGTGAGAGCAAGGCTGTACACCCACAAGACCAGCGCCAGGTACAAGGGGGCTTTTTGTGGTGATGAAAATGTTCTACAGCTCGATTTTGGTGGTGGTTACACATTTGTGTGCATTCATCAAAATGGTTTGAACTGGGGTAAAAATGGCAGAAATTCCCAAGGCCATTGAGAAGAACAGAACTGCGGACGATCCAGACAATTCTCTGTGCTTTTCTGTCTCCATTAATCTACTAAAAATAGCCCTTTCGACTTTGGATTTCAACCATTCCCTCTCTAGAAACTCCAGAACTTCTTCATCTTCATTCACTGTTTATTTATTGAATATCTACTTATGGGCATTCTAAAAGGGGCTGAAGATACAAATATTTTTAAAAATTCAATTTCAGCTCTCAAAGAATAGTCCACTGTCGTTCTATACAACACAGTGGACTTTAGCTACATGTGGCTATTTAGATTACATCACTAAAAATTAAATAAAAGAAAGAATTCAGTTCCTCATTCACACTAGCCATGTTGCAAGTGTTTAATAGCCACCTGTGGCTCATGGCTATCTTATTGGACAACAAAGAACATTTCCATCATTGCAGAAAGTTCTGTTGGGTAGTGCTGAGCATGGAGACAGGCAAGGAGAGATAGACATAAATTAGATAGTTCCACATTTCTCCTGATTTTATTTATTTTTTTCAAATGTTTATTTATTTTTGATAGAGAGAGAGAGAGCACACATGAGCGAGGGAAGGGCAGAGAGAAAGGGAGAGAGAGGATCCCAAGCAGGCTCTGTGTTGTCAGTGAGATCATGACTTGAGCCGAAATCAAGAGCCGGCTGCTCACCAACTGAGCCACCTAGGCACCCAATCTCCTGGTTTTAAATACTTGCTCACCCCACAGTCTTGTGTTCTATCACCTACAAACCAGAAGCTTCCCCATAACCATGTGAGGTGGTTTCAGGGGGTTTGGGGTTCTGCTTGCACAGAGAAGAACAGCCACCTTGGAAAGTCTGCTTTTTTGCACACTTGAGCTCAGCTTGCCCTTCTGGGCTGAAATCCTCCCAGGAAGCTCTGGCCCAGTATTTCTCTAGTCCATTACAACCATCCAAATATTTGTTGTTGCTCCCAGTACCCCAGGTGAGAGCATCAGGTCCTCAACCTGTCCTCCCCAACAGCTGGAGGGACATGCTTGCCCACTGGCTTCAGCTGCACTCATCTGAGATTTGGGGGAGGAGGGTAGATCAGCGGCTCCAAAAGACAACAGTCATTTGCTACCCACTCCACCCCGGGATTTGGAAACCCTCTCTCTCCTGTCTTTTCTGATGGGAATAACTTGTCTATTTTGATACCCCATCTGATGCGTGAACCCCCTCTGCAGCATGCCTGTCCAGGAGTAGCCAGCCTCTGCATAAGCACCTTCAGTGATGAGGAGCTCACTAATCCCCAGCACAGCCCATTCCATCATCAGGTGCCATTCTTTCTTTAATGGAGTCAGAGAGAAGGTGGGGACTCCGCCCATTCCTCCCGGCTCCTTGATTCCTTCTCCTTTGGGAAGTTCTTCATATCTGTGAAGAGGACTCCAGCCCCCGACCCAGATCCTCAGCCTCTCCTACCTAACAAGCACTGCCCTATGTGGGAGACCCTAGCGTGGCCTGCTTTTGGCATTCTTTGTTATTGGAAGTATTGCAAATGAATGTTCACAGTGCCCCACCCCCACAGAATCACTATCTGGAGCCTCATTAAGGTCTTCTATTGCTGGTGACATCAACAAAAAACTTACTAAAAATCCTCTGTGCCCATGACAAAACCATTATTAAAGATGCAAGTCGGGGCATTTGGTTGGCTCAGTCAGTTAAGCGTCAGACCCTCGGTTTTGGCTCAGGTCACAATCTAATGGTTCAGTTCATGCATGGGATTAAGCCCTGGGGAGGACTTCGCACTGTCAGCATGGGATTCTCTCTCTCCCTCTCTCTCTGCCCCTTCCCCATGTGCATGCTCTCGAGTACAGATGCTCTCTCTCTCTCAAAATAAATAAATAAACTTAAAAACCATTTTTTAAAGATGCAAGTCACTTAGGATTCTTTACCTAAGCCCCACACAAGATACTTCTTTTCGAATTAAACTCTGTCTTTAAAAATTTCCCCAGAAATGTTTCTTCCTTTATTATGAGAACTCTGTGGGTGTGTGTTTCTTCATTTACTTATGCAGCCTTGCTCATCAGGCTGCTCCGAGGGTCTGAGCCAACGAAGGCCTCTGACTGCAAAGGCCCCTCCTTTGCAGTCACCCCTTTCCTTACCTGGTGCTGCGTCCTGGGTGACACCAATACTTCCGAGGCTGTGCGGCTGCTGCAGCTGTCTGGGAAACTCAGGAGCGCCTCCGTGAGAATGGGGACTATGAATCTATGTATGTCGATCCTCCAGCTCCAGCCTCCTGCAAGGACACTGCAGGGGCTATGGGACTGGGACTCACCTGATGGAGACAAGAAAGGTGAGTCAAGTGACAGCAAAGTCACACCCCAGGTTTCTGAAATATGTTTTGAAAAGAGGGGGAGTGGCTTTCCAGGTGGGCCTACTTGAATGGGTCCTTTAAAAAAATTGCCATCAAAAATAGCTTTCCTTATTAGCTCTATTTCAACATATCATTTAATTCAAAAGAATGGCTTTCCTAAGGGCTTCTCTCCCTCTTTGTTAATTTTACATCCTAAGTCCAGTGGAACCAGCCTGGATTTATACTCTCTGATCCCTCCTCCCCAGGTGTACCCTGTTCCCTCCCTCCCAGGTGCATCCCCACTCTCTCTCTCTCTCTCTCCCCAGGTATACCCCCACTCTCCCTCAACAGGGGTACCCCTGCCCCCTCCCCCCACCTAGGTATACCATCATGCTCCCTCCCTGCCAGGTGTACCCACACAAAAAGCTGCAGCTTTCCCTTGGAGCATCTCTGGTCTCTTACTTAAGCCTAGACTGCCCAGAGACCTGCCAGCAGGCAGCCTTTCAAGAGCATTCATTCTCAGTTGTCCCTGGAGGTGGGTGGGACCCACCCACAAACCCTGGGGGCCCGATGTATTTCAGAATCCAAAAGTCTTTGGACTTTAGATAGATAATCTAGTGCATATTATCTGTGTTATGTAAAACCCCAGTGGAGTCTGGGGGCAGCACTCAATAGTCAAATGCATCAATATTTCTGTACCAAATGTTCCACTACATGGGATAAAGATGACAAAAAGCTTCAGATCAACTCAGGTCAGGTTGTGCTGCCAAATGAGTTTTTAAATTTTTTGTAACGTTTTATTTTTGAGAGACAGAGGGAGTATGAGTGGGGGAGGAGCAGAGAGAGGGGGAGACACAGAATCTGAAGCAGGCTCCAGGCTCCGAGGTGTCAGCACAGAGCCCGATGTGGGGCCTGAACCTGTGAACCACCAGATCATGACCTGAGCTGAAGCTGGACGCTTACCCTACTGAGCCACCCAAGTGCCCCCAAATGAGTTTTCAGGTGCTCCTGGCTGGTTCAGTCGGTAGAGCCTGTGACTCTTGATCTCAGGGTTGTGAGTTCGAGCCCCATGTTGGGTGTAGAGATTACTGAAAAATAAAATCTTAAAAAAAAAAAACTTAAAAGTTTTCAGAGCTGTTTTACATTTTGGAATTGCAGGTAAGGGATGATAGATCTGCCTGGCCTCTCCCTTCTCTTCTTTTTATTGCTGGAGATATTTTTCAAACTAATCTGCCACAAAGAGATTCCCACTGTGTTTGTGGGCAAAGTTTGAAAGGCAGCTAATAAATAGTGGTGAAATCCTTATGCTCAGCCCAAATAAAAAAAATCTGTTTTACCTGGGCAAACTCCTTTCACAATCACCCAACATCTGCCCATCTGTCATCTTCTGGGTTCCCTAATTTGTCTTCAGAGGACCAAATCATCTGCCACCTTGCAGCCCCGGCTACCTTGCACCTGTGCTACCCAGATGGCCACCTTTTCTTCAAAAGCAATTGATCTCCTCCTTAAACTCCCCAGACGTCCAGAGTCCATGTGCGTCAATCACAGAGTTTAAAGAGTAGCTTCTTCCTCAAAAGAAAGATGATAGGTACTAATCATCTGAGGGCCACTCACAGACTCCTCTTAAATATAACCAGTGTGGGATCACAGGAAATCTCTTGATAAATTGCAGAGAAAGTTCCTAGAGGACATGCCTCGAGATATAACCCACACTGCTTTCAAGTTGACCACAACGCACCTTTTCCTCTGCCCCACCCCCACCTCTCACTGAGCTTTCTCTTACTAAACCCACACAATTCCCGCACCCCTCCCTCCAGCCTCCCTTAGCAGGTGGGGATATTGTTTTAAAGAGAGTTGGACGTAAGTGCTCATATTTCTGGCAGCTTATAATCCAGAGGCTGGCCACCTGGAGGGTCCTGCACTCTCAGCCATTGTAATGGCTCTGACACCCATCTGATGATGATATCTTCCATTGGCCTTGGGTCTCTCCCCTCTCTCCCGGTCTGCTGACTCTAATTTCCTGCTCCCATGCAATTGCACCTCTTTTGTCTCTTGCCTTGATTGTGGCCAGTGGTGCATTACCTCAGATATGGGACACAGCCCCCTTTCTTTGATCATCCTCAAACGCCTGTCATGTCAGATGCTATTAACAAAGCATCTTCCACTGACAAGTCAGAGGTGGGTGGGGTCTACACTGCAGGACAAGCCATAAGACAGCTTAAAATACACCACTGCCCTCTTTAAAACGGGCTTTTTGACCTCTCAGACCCAGCTTCCTGCCTCTCCTCACATGGTCCCTCTCTCCCTGGCCTCCATCCACTCTCCATCTCAAAACTCTGCTCATTTGAATGTGCAGAACAATTTAATTTCCTTTGCTGCCTTGTGGCTGAAATAGACCAGGCCTTACTTGGCCAAGACCAAGCCATGTGAGCCCTACCAGACTGGCCACCAGTGGGCTTTCCTTGGATAGGTAGGCATTTGCATGTTCTGTCTAGGGGCAGACATGGGCTATGTGTGTGCTTGTGATCTGATCCTGCTGGCCCTGGGTATCTTTGTATTCCCATATCTGTCTGTGTCCTGTGAGGGTTTTTAGCTGTAATAAATCATAGCAAGCAAAAACTGAGTGCTCAGTCTGGGCCAGGCAGTGTTCCACATACCTTATGTATAATCCTGACAACATTACCCTTTTACTATCATCCTTGTTCACAGATAAGAGACCCAATGGAAAATTAAACAATGTTATCACGTGCTTAAGTATCTGGGTGTCTCTGGTCTTGGGGTCACCCTATGCATCTGTGTGTATTACATAATTATGTGTTATATCCATGTTCGTGTGTGTGTGTGTGTAGCCCCAGAAACCCTGTATCCTAGTCCTGTCCCCTTGCTCACCTCAGGGTTGGTCTCTTCTGCCCTGGTCCTGGGAAGGGTTAGAGCCAGAAATGATAGGTCTTGGTGTGTGGTCTAGGGACAGTGACAGGGAGAGGGACACCTGTGCTTGTGTGTGTGTGATTTATCCCAGGCAGCTTACCTGCTGCTTCAGCAGGACCAGAGTATTCTCTGTGATCTGTGAGCTCTTCAGTAGGAACTAGATGAGGAGAGGTCCTGTAGGTAGCCAGGGGCCTGGGTGCTTCTCTCCAGGGGTGGTGCCCTGATACTGCCAGGCTCGACGTTGGGCAGACTGAGGGAGGTGGGCTCCAGCTGCCATGCAGAGAGACAAAAGGCAGGATGTCCTAGCAGTGACAGTTTGACTCACAAAGGACTATTAGAGGGCATTCATGGCAGATGAGGCTTCTCTTTTTCCAGAGCACAAGTGAAAAACCACCTCTCTAAGATGGTTTAAACTTTTCCTACATCTACCAAATACTGAAGGGCTACTTTTGCCCTCCACTGTGCTGAACATCTTACAAACACTATCAGTAATCCTTGATAGGACAGGATAAGGGTAGCTTATTGCAATTGTCCCCTAGCTACAGATGAGCACATGAGGCTCAGAGGGCTAAGTGGTCTGTCCAAGGCCACACAGCTAGTGGCAGATCCAGAATCCAAGTCCAAATCTTTCTGGCTCCAAAGCCTGTATTCCTTCTACTATATCAAAGTATCTGTGAACTACTTGATTCTTCCTTGAGACTTTCCCAGTTCCTAGAGTAAGGCACTGTGGCACAATGAACAGGCTGCTATGTAACTATGACCCCAGGGTTTTCTGGCTTGAAGGGAGACAGTCAGCAGCCTCCCTCTGGGCCTGGACTGTCCATTTAAAAAAGCAAAAGCCTTCCCTGTAGCCACTGCTACTGTTCGTCCTTAGAGACAGTGAGGGGAACAGAAGCCTCTGCCCACAGTCACCCACGGCGGATCTGGGCAGGATGATGCCTAAAAGCCAGCCTCCTAGAACAGGACACGTGGTCCAGAGCCTCTCCCTGACTGTATGTGGTGTGACTGATGGTGCAGGGTCAGAACACTCCATGAGCAGAATCTCACATGTCCCTACAGGGCTCACGTGGATCATCCTCCACCCACCCCTGACGAAGAAGGGCTCTGAGGATAGAGCCCTGGCTCCTCAGCACAGCCTCCCTGGCCCTGCTGGCCCTGAATCCTGCTTTGGCCCTTCATTTCTTCTCCCCTCCCCCACTCAGGCCACAATAACTACCCTGTTCTCAAAGTCATCAAGCTCTCCACTTTCTCCAACACCTCTGCTTGGAATGCTCTTCCCTGGTGAACTTCCCATCCTCCCTGTCTCATCCTAACAGTACTGTCCTCAAGGAAGCCCTCCCTGGCCCTCCAGGTCCTGCCAAGACCTCTGTTAGGTGCATTCAGAGCCCCTGGACTAGGTTCAAATTGCAGGTAATTATTTGTGATGATTTCTATCACCCTAGACTACAGGATGTGTGAGAGCAGGGACCATCTGTATTTCATTCACCTCTGTGTCCCCAGGCTATACTGCTTGGCACACAGTTGTTGTTTAATAAATATTGGTAAGATGAATATGGACATGCTGGAAGGAGGGTAGGAAGGCAGGGAGGGAAGGAGTGACGGAGGGAGGGAGGGAGAGAGGGAGGGAGGGAGGAAGGGAGGAAGGAAAGAGGGAGGAGAGGAAGGAAGAAAGGAATGAAAGAAGAAAGGCAGGCAGGAAGTTAGGGAGGAAGGAAGGGAAGGAGGGAGGGAGAGAGGGAGGAAGGAAAGAAGAAAGGCAGGAAGGCAGGGAGGGAGGAAGGAAGCAAGAAAGGAAGGAAAAAAGGAGGAACCCAAAGGGAAAGAAGGAAGACAAGAATGGCTATCAACCTCTGAAACCCCACAGATTTCACCCTGTGACGCTCTGAGACACCCCAGCTCATTTTGCTATAGAAACATCAACTGCAAAGCTCAAAATTCCTTTGAGGTCACTCAGGGAAGAAAACCTATCAGAACAAGGCAGTAAGAGGAAGCCATCCCCAGGAATGCAGAGCCCTCTATTCTGTGGCTCCCTGATTCACCTTCCAGACACTTCAGTGACGTTGTCTTTCCTCAAGGTGCTCATCACTCACAGGCGTGACTACCCCAGACTCTGCCGCGTTGAGATGACTCAGCCTACACTCCAGCCAGACTTCCCGCCGTCTCTTGCTGGCCACGCCAGCTGGGCTCCCAGGCTCTGACACCGCACACGCTCAGGCTGAGGTCACTGCCCCTCCCTGACTGGCCATCACCACCACTGTCTCAGTCACAGGGAGCTTGGTGTGCTGTCCTTTCTCTCCTTCACCAAGGATGGCTCATTTGTCACTTCTTTCGGGAAGGAGGCAACTGTAGACTAGAGGGGAGGCAGAAGAAGAAGGAAGGGAAGCAGACTAACTCTACCTGCTCTGACAGTTCTGCCCCTCTTCCAGGGCTAGAAGCCAGGAGATGTCCTTGCCAGTGACCCTGCCAGGGGACCCCACCAGACGAGACACACCAGCCCCTCCATAGTATAGTCTGAGCTTCACAGTGAGTCTCATTTGCCCCAGGGAATTTTGGAAAAACTGGGAGAGGGTGTGAGAAAGGCCAGGATGTGGCACTCTGTCTGAGGAGGCAGGCAGTGCAACACGCACTTGCTCACGGCTGCGGCTGGACCAGCAGGGGCTGTGCACCCAGACGTGTCTGCCCACTTAACCACCAGCCTACAAAGAAGTCCACTGGAGCAGCTCAGTGGGGCTGGGAGGCAACCACAGGCCACAGGCCAGAGAGGGTGTTCAGACCCTCACACCCCCAAGATGCTATTCTCATACCCCAGGCCTTTCTGACTGGGAAAGTCTTTCAGAAACCCACAGCTGGCTCTTCCCAAAAAGCTGCCTGAGGGAACCCAGCAGCACAGGGCCCTGTGTCCCAGCCAGGGCAGGTGGCCCGGACTGGGTGCAATGCGGCACCGCTTACCTTTGACCTGTAGGCCTTCCCACATTGCTTTCCCTCCATAAATCTCTCCTCTCTCTCTCATTTTTTTTTTAACGTTTATTTATTTTTGGGGGGGACAGAGAGAGACAGAGCATGAACGGGGGAGGGGCAGAGAGAGAGGGAGACACAGAATCAGAAACAGGGTGCAGGCTCTGAGCCATCAGCCCAGAGCCCGACGCGGGGCTCGAACTCACGGATCGCGAGATCATGACCTGGCTGAAGTCGGACGCTTAACCGACTGCACCACCCAGGCGCCCCTCTCTCATTTTTTATAGCCCTTTTCACTTCTGAATATTAGCTTATATATGCACCTATTGATTTGCTTATTAACTGTCTCCCCCAGTAGAATATAAATTCCACGATGACAGATTGTTTGTCTTATTCATTGCTGTATTCCTAGGATCTAGAACAGAGCTTGGCATATAGTAGTTCCTAATTTAACAAATGTTTGTTCAATGAATCAATGAATAAAATGATCACGGTAACAACTGTTTTTGACGGGGCTTTTATCCCCATGTTTATAGATCAGTATGCTGAGGTCACAGAGGCAAGAGCCTTGCCCAAGATCAGACCACTACCAGTGGTATGAGTGTCCCAGGCAGGACTCAATGCTAGTGGCCAGGCCAGCCCACGTGGGGCTGGGAGAAGCTCTGCCATGCTAGGTGGGCATGTTCTGATAGAGCGTGAAGATCTGGGGGAGGCTCTGAGCCCCAACCGTATCTGTAAAAGGAAGGCTTCGTGTAGGTAATGGCTCAAACCCCTTCTAGTTCTGAGGTGCTAACACAGTGTCTCCTTTGTGACGCTTAGACCTTATCTGGAGGACCTGGGCACCAAATTCTATCTTCCCCCATTGTCCGCATGCAGTGGCAGGAATCTTCTGGTCCAAAGATCAGTTCATCAGGACCTTTGTCAAGTGGGGCATGGTGTGCTTGGGTACGCTAAGTCAGGGGCTGAGACTCACCATAGTAGAGGTATGGAAACAACCCTCATATCCACTGACAGATGAATGGATAAAGAAAATGTGGCATATACACAAAGAAATTGTGGCATATACCATGGAATATTATTTAGCCTTAAAATAAAGAAAAACAAGGAAATCCTGTCATTTGCAACAATATGTATGGATGTGACGATTACTTTTATGTGTCGACTTGACCGGGCTAAGGGATGCCCAGATGGCTGGTAACACGTTATCTCTGGATGTGCCTGTGAGGGTGTTTCCAGAAGAGATTGGCATTTGATTCATTCAGTCAACTGGGTAAAGAGGTCCACCCTCACCGATGTGGGCAGGCATCATTCAATCCATTGAGGACCCAGTTGGAACAAAAAGGTGAAGGAAGGGCCAATATGCTCTCTCTTCTTGAGCTGAGACATCCATCTTTTCCTGCCCTCACATATTGGAGCTCCTGGGTCTCCAGGCTTACACCAGTGCTCTCCTGGTTCTCAGCCACTGGCTTCCCTGGTTCTCTGCCTTGCAGATGGCAGACTGTGGGACATCTCAGCCTCCATAACAGCATGAGTCAGTTCCTATAATAAATGTCCTCTTTTTTTAATGGCAAGGTTTGTTTTTGTTTTTTTCTTTTTAATGTTTATTTATTTTTGAGAGAGAGAGAGAGCACGAGAGAGGGAGGAGCAGAGGAAAAGGGGACAGAGGATCCGGAGTGAGCTCTATGCTGACTGCAGAGGGCCCAATGCAAGGCTCACGAACCATGAGATCATGACCTGAGTTGAAGTCAGACCCTTAACAGACTGAGCCACCCAGGAACCCCATAATAAATGTATATATGTATCACGTTGGTTCTGTTTCTCTGAAGAACTCTGATTAATACAATGGAACTTGAGGTCATTATTCCAACTGAAATAAGCCAAACACAGAAAGACAAATACTGCATAAACTCACTTCTAGGAAGAATCTAAAATAGTCAAACTCATAGAAGCAGAGAATAAAATGGTGCTTGCCAGGGGTTGGGGGGCAGAGGTAATGGGGAGGTGATGGTCAAAGAGTACAAAGTTTCAGGTATGCAAGATAAGTAAGTTGGGGAGCTCTATTGTATAGTGTCTATAGCTAACAATACTGTATTGCTTAAAATTTTGTAGGTGGACAGATTTTATGTTAAGTGTTCTTACCACACATATAATAGTAACAACAACAACAATAATAAAAAATAAAGGGGCAAGAGGAAACTTTGGAAGGTGATGGACATGGCTATGGCCTCGGTGGTGAATGTTTCACAGGCATAAACTTGATCCCCAGACTCACTGAGTTGTACGTATTAAATATCTACAGCCTTTTACGTGTCGATCACACCTCACTCATGTGTTTCAAAGAAAATCAGGGACTGAGAGGCGGGACCACAGAGGGGGCAAGGGTGAGTGCTGAGGCAAGAGCACATAGGAATTATAACAAGAAGGAAGGGGCTGCAGACAGGAGAGCAGAGCGCTGGCCAGAAGGGCTCTGGGTAGCCGAAAGTGGCCTTGTGCCCTCTCTTAGGCTCTCTCCACATCCCTGCAGGCAGCTCTCCCCCCGTGGTGCGATGCCTTCTCATGTACCTTCAGGGAGGCCAGTTAGGAAGAAGTGGTGACATAGGAGGATGGTGTCCTGTGAGGAGTGTCAGAAACAGTCCAGCAAGTGTCAGGAGTGTTTTTTTCATATTGTGGGTCACCATTCATTAGGTGTTCATCAAATCAACCGAATGCAAAATTTTCAAGCATTTTAAAAAATGAAATAGAGAACAAAATAGCCTAGAATAGAAAACAACAAAGTGAATGGGAGTTTTATTTCATAAAACTTTTGTATCACGTGTGTGTGTGTGTGTGTGTGTGTGTGTGTGTGTGTGTGCGCGATTATACTACAGTAGGTTGCAATATAAAGTTTTTTTGTTCTTACAGATTGTGGTCAAAGAGTTTGAAGAAACCAAACCACTGGTCTAGAGATCTTTCTTCATTTATCATCTTTGCTTTTCAGAGATGTGGGAAAGTCCCAGCTGAATATAAGCACATTTTATTCTATTAGTCAAGTAAGCATGCACTGAACAGCTGTTACTGTCAGAGGCTCAGAAGAAGGGGTGCCTGTCTCTACAGAGTGTGTGTTGGGACTGTGACAAGAATCAACGCGGAAGACAATATGAGAAAAAGGGTGCCATACTGGGGGGCAAGAGTGGGGCTAGATGAGCAGCTGGATGTTTGAACGTTACCACTCTGATGCCACCTTCTTGATGTTCTGACCGGTTTTGTCAAAGTGTAAAACACGTTTTAAAATCATCAATTTGCAAAAAGAATCTTATCACCCCTATTCCATTTCTGATTCTTACCCCACCCAAGGAGGTGAGGCTCAGGAATACGATAGGAATGCGTGTACTTGGCCTTTTTTTTTTTTTTAAGCCTAAAGTTTAACGGTTGGGTTTTAGGCTGAGTCAAAATGTCCCCGCATCAAAACAACTGCATGAAACAGCTGCTCCTGTTGCAGTCAAAATGGTGCAGGAAAATTCCATGGACCTTCCCTGTGGGCCCCACACACAAACTCTCATTTCTCCACGCTGCCAATTTGAGGTCAGTATGCCTTAAAAAGGGTGGCATTTGTGTCAGCCAGTCCTGGCCTCCTAGGCGAGAGCTAAGTAAACAGGAGTCCTGGGGAAGACCACTTCTTCACGAGGGCCCACAGTGGATTTTTCCAAGGGAATGAAAGGTTGCCTTTGTACAGAGGAGAAGGGAAACAGAATCTGCTATTTCACGGCTGCCCATTCTCCATGACCTCATCGGTGTTGACTTTCTCGCCATTTCATCTCTCTTGGAGCCACAGAGAAGCCAGGGAGGAGCCTGGTGAACAGTGCCACCTTCACTATAGAGAGCGGTCAGGGGAGGTGGAGAAGTCACTGACAACTACCCCTCACGCCAGGTGACCCGAGCTGGAAGAAGGACGGGGACAGTCGTGAGCCCCTGAAACCAAGCTGCCTTGCCTTGGACAAGGTGTGTACAGGTTTCAAATGCCTACGGGCCAGACGTTAATTTTTTTTGGCTTGCATTATTTTTCTCAGAAGGAAGCAACATGGAAATGACACCGGCCCTGTAATTCAGGCACTTCCTGGAAAACCATAATTAGCCATCACATTATAATTACCCACCACTGCTCTCTTCCATTTGGAACTCTTGCTTCCGTGAGTTCTATTCTTAAATTCCTTCCCCGCCCTGAGAAACAAGACAAAGCATTTTAAGTGGTTTCTTGATGAATATTTTTCTCCTCCTAGATATATTCCGTGCTTTATATATTCCATGCCACCCCTTGAACATCTACTTTAATTTTCATATAAATGAGATTATTTGTCTAAGTGACTGAAAGGAAAAGAGCAAGGAGTTATTTTCCACGACCAGCAAAGAATAGAACTGAATGTCATCTCCTGATTTTGCTGCTTCTTTAAAACATCTCGAGAGAATTCTGTTTCTTCAGGAGGAGCCAGCCTGGTGTGGTAGGACACACTACCACCCAGCTGTTTGACCTTGTGTGAGGTGCCCATCTTTCCAGGGGCTGGCTATAGGTTTAGACTAAATCAGCATTTCCCAAGGACTGGAGCTCAGACACCAGGGATTTTAGGTGACACAGGAGCAGAGCCTCAAACGATATCAAAGCAGGCACTGAAGGAGCACTGTCCTTTGCAGTCCCTTTTCAGTTCCTTAATCCTGTAGAAGAGAAGGTCTCCATTTGGTGCTGGCGGGCCTTTAACACTTCTCTAAAGACTGTGATCTTCCTTTATATCATATTGAGCAGGCCTTAGCTCTGAGCCATCTGCTGGCAATAGCAGCTAGAATTTAATAACTTCGTTTTGATTTTATTATATTCACTTTTTCGGCTACCTTCTACTTATTTTAAGTATATCTTATTTTTCTATTATGGTGAAAATATGGCTTCCTTTTTTGTTTTTATTTTCTTGCTTTTTGAAAAACAGCTTCCCATTTTAACACAGTTGGGGGAAGCAGGGCTTGAGGTAGGGAGGTACTTTAAGTACACCTGTCAGGATTAAGTTTTCCAGATATTAGAAAGACCAAAGGAAAATATACAAAAAGTTTTTACATACCCTTTGTGTCCCTACACACGTGGCCACTCCCTCCCCCACTATCAACATCCCACACCAGAGTGCTATATTTGCTACAAGTCATAAACCTACATTGACACATCATTGTCACCCAAAATCCATGCTTGACATTAGTGTTCACTCTTGGTGTTATACATTGTATGGGTTTGGACAAATGTATAATGAGATGTATCCACCATTATGGTATCATACAGAGTAGTTTCACTGACCTAAAAATACTTTGAGCTCCACCTATTCATTCCTCCCCCTCTCCTCTCAACCCCTAGAAACTACTGATCTTTTTTCTTTTAATTTTTTTTAACATTGAAACTACTGATCTTTTACTGCTTCCATACTTTGCCTTTCCCAGAATGACATATAGTTGGAATCATACAGTACATAGCCTTTTCAGATCACTTCTTTCACTTAGTAATATGCTTTAAGGCCCCTTCATATCTTTTCATGGCTCGATGATTCATTTCTTCTTAGCACTGAATAATATTCACTGTCTTCATGTACCTCAGTTAATTTTATCCATTCATTTACTGAAGGACATTGTGGTTGCTTCCAAGTTTTGGTAATTATAAATAAGACTGTCATAAACATCCATGTGCAGCTTTTATGTGAACATAAATTTTCAACTCATTTGGTTAAATACTTAGGAGTTCAATTAGGATCATATGGTAAGAGTTTAGTTCGTAAGAAACTGCCAAACTGTTTTCCAAAGTAGCCATATATCTTGTATTCGCTGTACATATTGCATTTCGCAATACCGATTTTGGGGTTACAAAGCAAGTTTAGCAAGTAGGTAAATTTGCAGATACGGAATCCTAGAATAAAGAGAACAGACTGTAAGTATTTTCCTCTCTCTTTTACTTTTTCTTATTTTTGCTGGTTTCCATTTTCCCCCTTGTTAATTTGAATGTTCTATTCTACTTTTGCATTCCATTCTCTCCTGGTTCATTTATGATTAGCCTCGATATATTTCTTTTTCCTTAACAGGTAGATAACTTGAATAGGCACAGTCCTATAAAGTCTATTTCATTAGCTTCTAGCTTTAGTACTAGATGAAAAGTGTAATGCCAATCTGGTTCTTTTCTCTTTATAGGTCAGTTGAGGTAATTGCCTGGACCTTACAACATTTTCCTCTTTTATCCTTAGGGTTCAGAAATAGACCTAGGTACTTTCTTGTCAGTTCAGTCTGAAATTCAGGAAATCTTTTTTGTTGCTGTTGTTGTTTATTTTATTATTTTTTGAGAGAGAGACAGAGACAGAGTGTGAGCAGGGGAGGGCAGAGAGAGAGAGAGACACACACACACACACACACACAGAATCTGAAGCAGGCTCCAGGCTCTGAGCTGTCAGCACAGAGCCCAATTGGGGGCTTGAACTCATGAGCCTTCGAGCTATGAGATCACGACCTGAGCCAAATTAGGCCGCTCAACCGACTGAGCCTGCAGAGAGCCCCCAGGAAATCTTTTCAATCTTACAGATTGAAGTTTTCCTTCAGCTCAGGGCAATATTTTTCAATCACATTTATTATTTCTTTCATCTATTCCATTTTCTTCTTCTGGAAGTCCTGTTATTTATATGTTAGGTCATTAGATCTGCCCTGCCAAAGCATTTTTCCCTCTAATTTCCACCTCTATATTTTTTGTTCTGAACTTTAAGCTATTTGCTGACCTTGATTTACCAGGCTGCATATCTGAATCTCAGTAGTGATCATTTTCTCCTTCAACTCATCAACTGAACCATTTAATTGGGAAATCATATTTTTAGCTCCACAGTCTCTTTTTACTATATTTAAATATCTGTAGTGCTTATTTTTTTAAAACTCATGTTGCCATCTGCCTCTTTCAGCAGTTCTAGGTCACTGGATGTATGCTCTGTTTGTCCTTCCTCTCTCTGCCAGTTCACTGAGGCTCAGGTCCAAGTGCTGGAGCACCCTAAGGGATGGGCATTCTGTTGGTGGAAAAAAGGGGGAAAGGACCCTATCCTAATCAAGGCAGCTTAGATGTGGTCATGCTGCCCATCTCCTGCAGAAGCATCTGGAAAATACCTCCTCGGTCTGGGTTTCATGCAGTCACCAACCCCAGGAACAAGGGAACTTACCCCGCTGGTTCAACAACTTCTTAGCTGCTGGGATGAGGCACAGGTGTCTTCATCTGGCCCAGTGTCAGCCTTCCCTTGAGGGGCCACAGATCAGGCCCAAATTCCACAGGCTCCACCTCTTCTCCAACCTTGTTTCAAGTATTTCATGAACTGATGGGGAGAACAACCATTCCTCATTCTTTTCACTGGTCCCTACAACTGTTTAGTGAAGGAAAGAGAGAGAGATTCATTTTGAAGCGGATGAAAAGGGAGCCACAGTCATGTTACCGTGTCCTCAGAGTCACCTCTAAAACATCCTTTAAAAATAAATTTAAGTGAAAAAGCAAGAGGACTTACAGAAACATATTAAGTAAATACTGTTATAGGTGGTACATGATATGACAAAAGTCACAAGGGTGGTATGTGAATGACAAAACCTGAGAAATACTGCACCAGAAAAATGTTGAATTTCCCTTCTGGTGTGTTATTACTCTGTAAAGCAGAATAACTGACTGTTCTTCTAACAGGGTGTATGCATTGCTTTAAAGGAAAAAAAAAAAAAAAGGAGAGATCACAATCAAGACTGAATAAATGACTTCTCCATGGTCCCGCAAGCCCTATATCCGTATACACACACACACACGTGTGTGTATATATATATATATATATACACACACAAACAAACATATACATATATATTTTTATGTGTATACCATGTATGCATGATACATATGTATCATATTATAGACGGATTATACACGTATCCCAAAATGGAAGCAAATAATTAAAGAAAGCAAGGAGGCAGGGATTATAATGTTTTACATATAATCCAGTTGAGTGATAGCAGCAAGGACACAGAACCCTGTCGCTACTAGAGAAAGGCAGGACAGGAATTGTGGCCATTATAAGGGACTTCCTCTCACAGGGCACCCCCTCCATTTACTACAGGGAATAATTTTTTTCAAAACAAGAGCCTCACGTTTCCTTTGTTGTGTAGTGTTCATTGTCACTTGTCCACACAGTGTAGGGAAGTGGGGGAGGGAAGGTCACTGAAGCACTTCTTAGAAGCCCTGAGGGCACACATACCCCCCTCAAAGCCACACACACACACACACACACACGCACGCATACCTTAAACATGCAAACATCCACAGCCTCAGGTCACCCGGCTGCCATTAGCTCCTCAATAACAAAGGGGTACTGCCTCCATTTGCAATGGATGCGCCCAATTGTTCCACTGCCCTCAGGACTGAACACTCCACTAAACTCACAGAAGTACCGCCGGACTTCAGGAAAGCTTCAGGCCTAAGGGGATGGGCAGAAAGGGCTACTGTCCTGTCTCCTGCCTTGCCGGGTTCAGATTCATTTTAAGGAGTATAAAGCACGGGGAAGGGACCTAGCCTACAACACTAGTTGCGAAGACCTACCGGCTAGCGAGGCAAAATGAGCGCTCTTGAAAAAGTACTCAGCGGGCGCACCCACTTGGCACCAACACGTGGCCGTGCCACGGCCAGGTTGCAGCCCTTGCAACTCCGATCCAGGGCTGTCGATGTGGCTGCCCTGGCTGACACTGTGGCCCCTTGGCTTCTGATACTGTCAGTCCGAAGCAAACGCCCCTGCTTTCTCTAGTCGGCTTGTGTGCCAGCAAAGAAAGCCACTGCGTCCTCGGCACGGGGCTCGCCACACCTGTGACCTTTTCAGGGACTCACTGGCCCCGAGCCCCGCGGGAGCGTGTGAGCCTGCGTGTGCGTGTGCGCAGGCGCACACTGGCCCAGCCCCGAGGCTCCGGCGCACCGGGATAGACGAGCCCGGCCTGCGCAGCACAATGGTCCGCTCGCCCGGCTGGCGCGTGGCCCAGCCCGGCGCGGGGGTGGGGGTGGGGTCGGAGAATTCGGTTATTGTTCGCGGGGCCCGGCGGCCGCCGCTGCAGCCGACGGGCGGCAATCCATTCAGCCGACAGACGGCGTCTCGCGCTGCGGCGGCGCGTCTCCCCCGCGCACCTGCCCGCGCCCCTCCCCTCCCCGCCCGCCATCTGTCGTCTGAGCGCCATTGTAAGCAGCCGTGCCGGGCGTCCTGGACGACACCCAAGAGGACCCGAGGCTTAGGCCGGGCGAGAGGCAAACAAGGAGAGTTTATTCCCAGTCCCGTTTGGAGGTGACCTTCAGCAAAAGAGCCAAGCCCCGGGGGCATCCGCCCGTTCTGCCGCCCTCCAGCTTTTGGCGCAGGGTTTCTTTCGGGGCCGTTCCTGGACCCGGACACGCAGGGTCGGCAATCAGAGCGGTAGGCTTTCTGGGATGTTATCTGGACAGGACCAACCCGTCAGCGGGCAGATCCCGCCGCTAGCTTCCCTGAAGAGCCCCCGGGAGCCCGTTTCAAATGCAGATGCTGGTTTTGTCTGCACGTCTGATCCTCCGAGTTTACCCCAATTGTCCAGGCCTCTTGGGATACTGGATTGAAAGAAGAGTTTCTCTTTTCTGCAACTGCAAATGCAGCCTTTTCAAGTCCCACCTGCCAGCCTGCTGTCCTGGCAGTCTTTTCTTCACCCGCATTTGTTTAATGTCTCACATCTATCTTCCTTTAATGTCACTGGAAGTTTCAAATGCTTTGATATGTACGGACCAAAAGGAAAACAAACAAAACAAAACAAAGCTATGCTCATTGTGGTCATTGTGAGTTTGCCTTTTCAGAGGGCGGCTTTTGTCCCCCCAAGATTCTAATCCTCCCTCCCTCCTAGGTACCTCCCCAGCCCCAGCCTGAGATGCTCACCCTCTCCTCACCCAACCCCACCACCCCCACCCCACCACACAACACCTCTTTTTATAGATGGGAAATCAAAGGCGGAGAGACTGCAGGGGCTGTGGACAGATGTGGACTTTATCTCTCTGTTTTTAAAACAAAAAGCACCCACACTTGAATGGGACTACTATTACTAGAAGGCGTGTGCATTCAAAGAGGGGTGGGGTGTCAGAGCTCAAGGGGGTTCGATTTGGGGTTTCTCCCCGCTGACATGTCAGTAGCTGTCTGTCTCTCGACCTTGCTGCCAGGAAAAGGGGGCACTGGTACCCCAGAGGTTTCTGACCCCCAGGAAGCATGCTCACCACACAATGCAGGGCAGGATCCCATGCAGAGCAGGCTCTCCTCCTCTAGAACTTTCAGTGCTTCCAGCTCATGAGTCTCCATCCATCCAAAGTCCTGGTGGGGAGAAATTGGAACTAGGAATGGAGAAGCCTTGCTGGGATATTGCTCCGCAGGCTTCCTCCCTTGGACAGAACTAGAAACAGAAAAAGTGTACCTCTATAAATCCCTTTCCCAGTCCTTCAACTCATAGATGGATTCTTTAAGTATGTTAATATTACTCATGATTCCTGGGCTGTGTATGTATGTGTGCAAGTGTGTGTGTGTGTGTGTGTGTGTGTGTGTGTGTGTGTGTGTGTAGGTAATACACGGTATAGAATTCAAAAGGAACAAATGGTTATTTGGTGAGAGACAAATTTCCCTTCCACCCTGTACCCAGAATGCCCATGTTTGCTTTTCTGTTTCTGCTTGGCCCCAAGAACACTAGGCTTTGCACTCAGCCTCTGGGCTTCTGACTTTCCTCCAGCTGTGGGATCTGGTACAAGACTCTCCTCTCTGACCTTCCACTGCCTCCTTGGTAAGACAAGGGTAAGAACACTCACCACGGGAGGTTGCTAGGACCAACAAGAGTGTGTGAAATGTGTTCTAGGCCTGCTGAAGCATTGTGTGCTTGCCGAGTTATCACTATTAGAAACAAAGCTGTGTTCTAACACCCCTCAGCTGGTCCAGCAAGATCTGAGGGGATACGATTTGAAGGTCTTGAATAAGAAGAGGAAAGCTTTGGCTGCTGGGAGACTCTAGACTGTTAAAATGTGCAGGAGAGCTGGAGTTAAGAAAAAATGGGAACAAGAGGCTGAAGGGAGGTGTGTCAGTCAGTTCATGCCACATAACAAGTAACCACAAACTATATATGACAATAAGCATTTTATTCTTGTTTAGCATTTGTGGGCCAGCTGTAGCTCTGCTTGAGGTTGTGAATTTGTTGGGTAGTTGGAGCAATTCTGTGCCATGTGTCTTATTCAGGGGCTAGATTGAGGGGTCCAGCTCCCTATGGTATATTCTTCCAGCAATGACAGAAGCATGAGGCACCGAACCAAACTACACAAGCATAATACCTGCTAACATCTTATTGGCCAAGCTAAGTCACATGGTCAATCCAAAGTCAAGGGAGTAAGGTTCACTCTACCCAGCATGAAACAGTGGCATAGGTATGTATTACCATGGAGTGTAAAATTGGGAGCAATCTTTCAATTCCTTCTCTCTATATTTCCTTCCTAGATAACACCCATCCTCATAGCCTTAATACCATGCATTTGCTACGGATTCTCTAACTTACATTCCAGTCCACAGCTGTCCCCTAAGAGCTAAACAGCATTTTCCCCACCCCCAATATCTCCACTTGCAGATACCATGCACTTCTCCACGTGAAACTCTTGGTTCCACCCCACCCACACGGTTCAAATAAGACGCAAAAGATCACCTTTCACCCACTTTCTCCCTTACCCCCACCACCAGATTCAACCCATCAACATGATGCTGCCTCCACAATATACCTCTCCCTGGTCCAAAGCCCTAGCAGCTCTCACTTGGATGACTGTCATAGTTTCATCACAGGAACAGAGCCCCCTGCTCTCCTTTGCCCCTTCAGTCTCTTATTATCACAGCAACCAGAGTGATACTCATAAGCTCTCAATCTTCTCCTTACCCCTGATGGTTCCCTTCGCAGAGAACAGCAAAGTCCTGATAATGCTCTACAAAGCCCTACATAACCCTACCATAAGCCCTCCCTCCTCTACCTCTCTAACACTCTGGTCCTCATACTTTCTGTTCCAGCCACACTGCTCTTCTTACTGCTCTGCAAACACCATCAGGCAGACAGTGGCCTCAGAGCCTTTGCATCTACTGTTCCCTCTACCTGGAAAACTCTTCCCCCAAAACTTTAATATTGCTAGTGCCCTTCCTTCACCTTCCCAGGGAAACTTCCCCTAGTCACCTGATCTAAAACATCATCCTTTACTCAAATGTTCAGATCCTCTTCCTTATCACTACTGAACCAATCAAACCATTTACTTGTTTGTCTTGCTTATTTTCTATTTCTAGTGGGAAATAATGTCTGCTCCACGTAGGATGACTATCTCAATTTGCCCAGGTCTCTCCCTAATCTAGCACTAAAATTACTGTGTCCCAGGAAATCCTTGGAAAAGGATGTAGGTCACCTACAGGGCAGGGGTTTTCTCTATTTTGTTCACTACTTCTATTTCTGGTGCCTAGCACATTGTCCGACACTCAATAAATAGTGGCTGAATGAATGAATGAACAGCCAGAGTGATCATCTGAAACTTTAATCAGATCACATCTCTCCCAGGCTAAAAATTTTTCAATGGCTCCTCATTGCACTTAAAAATCTAAACTCCTTACCATTGGGGCACCTGGGTGGCTCAGTCAGTTAAGTGTCCAACTTCAGCTCAGGTCATGATCTCACGGTTCGTGAGTTCGAGCCCTACATTGGGCTCTGTGCTGACAGCTGGGAGCCTGGAGCTTGCTTAGGATTCTGTGTCTACATCTCTCTCTGCCCCTCCCCCACTCTCACTGTGTGTCTCTCAAAAACAAATAAACTTTAAAAAAATTTTTTTTTAACTCCTTACCATGGCTACAGAGCCTGCCAAGGCTGGCTTTTGCCTGCAGCCTCTTGTACCTTCTTCTCCAACACTCCCCTTGAGCTCTGGGTGGTCTAACCCCCTTCCAGCCTCCTCAAGTACACCAACCCGTCCATACCTTTAGATATTTTCTCACTTTCTTGGCCTGGAATACATTTCCCTTGGAGGCTCCTGCTCGACTCTTCAAGTTTCAGTTCAAATGGGTCCTCAGAAAAGCCTTCCCAGGCTGCCTTATCTAAGAGCATTCTCTCAACCTTCCAACTCTCCACCCTGTTTATTTCCTGCACACTGCGCATCACTAACTGCAATCGGTCCTGCTTGTTTATTTGTTTGTTTACTACCTGTCGCCCACAAGGGCAAGAGCTATGTGTGCCTTGCTCTCTACCACAGCACCACTGCCGAGAACACACCAAATGCTCTTAAATATCTGTCCCAGCACTGCTCTGTGGTCAGGAAAGGAGGGCAGAAAGGTGGCAAGATTTCATGCCAGAGTAAGGACTTAATTTCACAGGAGCCCGAATGGGCTTTTTGAGCAATGAAGGAATTCTTTGAACCTTGTCAAGGAAGATGCTAACTGTAATAAAAATAATATATATCATTTATTCAGCACTAAACAAGGGCCAAGCACAGTGCTAAGCCCCTTATGTGTACCACCTCATTTAACCCCACAACAACCTCATTATTATCTCCAGTCTTAGGTAAGAGAACTAAGTGTAAAAAACACTGTCCATTGCCTGCTTAATGCCCATTCTCTGCATGTTCTTTGCTCCTAGAATCCCGGCTTTGTGTGGGGTGATAAAGTGTCCAAGCCTGGTGACAGGTCGCAAAAATTCTATTCCTTGCATTCCTAGACTCCCTTGCAGCTAGGGGTGGCCATGCGAGCCTATTCTGGATAATGTGAAATAAGCAGGAGTCTACTGGGGGAGGAAGTATTCTGAGAAAGCTTTATTTCTCCAACATCCTTCTTCCTGCCTTAAAGTGATATACTGTGTGGAGCCCTGGCAGCTATCTTGTGACCATGAGAAAATAAGCCTAAGAGTGAAAGCCATAAGGTTAAGCATGGCAGATCCGAAAAAGGGAAGTCCTTTGGTATTCTAGTCCCGTTGTTAACCATCTGAACCAACACAAGCAACTGCCTACCTCTAGTCTTTGTGTTATGTGAGTGAAATAACCCCCTCTTTGTTTAAGCCATCATTAGCCAAATTCACTGTAACCTGCAACTGAACACATTTTTAACCAAGAGACTGGAGCTCAGATAACTTTGGAGAAAATTAAACCTTTAGAGGAAGAATCCAGTTGGGAGGTTGACTGTGGAAGTCCAGCAGTATAATGACCAGAACTTGAGCTCAGACTTTGTTGTGGTGATTGAAACTAAACAGATCCTGAAGACGCTGCCTTTGAGGCCACTTAAAAGACAGAAGGCCAAAAAGAGGTGGGGGCGGGGCATCACATTCACTGCAGACCAGGTTCTGATGGTGAAATTTCCAAAAATGACAGAGGGAAATCTACAGGGAAGGTTTGGGATAAAACATGCAAAGTTCTGTCATAGGACAAGGTATAAAAGAACTAACGTCTTTTAGTTTCTATCCTGGTTCAGGCCCTATTTCAGAAGTTTTACAGTACTGGCCCATATAGACCTCCCAATTGACTGGCAATGCAGGAATCATTTCCACATTAAAGAAGAGGAAATTAAGGCTCAGGGAAGAAGTAAAGTATGTAAAAACTATAGATTCAAAGCAATCCCAATCAAAAGCTTGGCAGGCATTTTTAAAATGTAAATTGACAAACTGATCCTAAAATTCATATGGAAATACAAATGGCCTAGAACATCCTAAACAACTCTGAAGAAGAGGTTAAAAGTGGAGGACTAAGATCTGATTTCAGAAGTTGTTGTATTGTTATAAAGCTATAGTAATAAAAACAACTTAGTATTAAATAAAAAGTTCTGCACAGTGAAGGAAACACTCAACAAAACTAAAAAGCAACCTATTGTATGGGAGAAGATATTTGCAGACGACATATCCGATAAAGGGTTAGTATCCAAAATAAATAAAGAACTGATACAACTCAACACCAGAAAAACAAATAATCCAACTTAAAAATGGGCAGAAGACATGAACAGACATTTCTCCAAAGAAGACATACAGATGCCCAATAGACACATGTAAAAATGATCCACATCACTCATCATCAGGGAAATACACAAATCAAAACCATGATGGGATACTACCCCATACCTGTCAGAATGGCTAAAATCAACAACACAAGAAACAACAGGTGTTGGCAAGGATGTGGAGAATGGGGAACCCTCTCACACTGTTGGTGGGAATGCAAACTGGTGCAGTTACTGTGGAAAACAGTATGGAGATTCCTCAAAAAGTTAAAAACAGAACTACCCTACAATCCAGCAATCACACTAATAGATATTTACCCAAAGAATGCAAAAATACTCATTCAAAGGGATATATGCACCCTGATGTTTATAGAAGTATTATCTACAATAGCCAAATTAT